TATAACCATTGTGCATAACAATCTGCCACAATGTGTATATGTGTGTGTGTGTGTGTGTGTGTGTGTGTGTGTGTGTGTGTGTGTGTGTGTGTGTGTATATACAGTGGTGTGAAAAAGTGTTTGCCCCCTTACTGATTTCTTATCTTTTTGCATGTTTGTCACACTGTAATGTTTCAGATCGTCAAACAAATTTATATATTAGTCAAAGATAACACAAGTAAACACATCATGCAGTTTTTAAATGAAGGTTTTTATTATTAAGGGAAAACAAAATCCAAAAACCCAATCAAAATGAGCTTTGAAAGCCCACACCACTGACTTTATATAAGTATGGACAGTGTCATCACTTTCTTCTGCTATACAAAGGTGAAGCCAAAATATGAATATGGCGGCTGCCATCTTGGCATTTTGCAACTTCTACTCCAAATTCCACACCCTATATCTGAGGGTAAGTCCAACCACCCTTCAAAGGAAACTCATTTCGGCCACTTGTATTCACATTCTTATTCTTTCGGTCACTACCCACAGCTCATGACCATAGGTGAGGGTTAGACTGACTGGTAAACTGAGAGCTTTGCCCTTTGGCTCAACTCCTTCACCACAACTGTCTGGTACAACATCTGCATTACTGCTGCCCAAACCCACCTGTCATTCTCACGCTCGAGTTTACCCTCACTCCTGAACAAGACCCCGAGATACTTAAGACTCCCGCACTTGGGGCAGCAACTCAGTCCCAACCCAGAGAGAGAGAAGTCCACTGTTTTCCGGCAGGGAGCTATTATAATATAAGACTTCATCAAACATTTCTGAAAAATGCAAAATTTCAACAAAATCCCAGTGTAGTGGTCAAACACAAATAAGGTACCAATCTAGAGGTAATATGTAATAGAATAGTGTGTAGGTCAGATATAGATATTATTTGTAGTAGTCATGTAAGGGTGAGCTAAGTGTTTATATAGTCTTGGAGAGATCTGTTTCTCTTGTCTTAACTGTTTGGAGATGTTTGTGCTTGAGGATCCTTGGGAATTATCTACTGATAGTATGCTCAAGCAAGATGGGAAGCTTGAAGTTGGACATAACTTGAGCCTTATGTGAACAGTTCATGTGCTCTGTTCATGTTTAGAAAAAGGAAATGTGCGCTAGGTCAATGTGACCTAGAAGTTCATGTACTGGACATCTCAGACAATTCTCAGAAGAAGGGGTGTAGAGCTGGCATGAAACCATGACTCTGGCTCTAGCAATAGGAAGATTTGTAACTGGGAGAAGATAAAAGTTAGGACAGCTGTGGGTTAGTGGAAAGAAGTGATGGTGCTGCAGTCGTGAGTTTGGACCCGCCCAGGTGGAGACTTTGGACTCTGACGGACTGTACCTTGAGGCCACAATGACTGATTGACTCATTGACAATTCTCTTATCTAATGCTTTTGTTTATTTCCAGGCAGAAACAGTGATTCTGTTCCTCTCATTTAATTATTCAGGTTAATTGTGATATTAAATGATTATTGGAATTGGGATGATTTGCCTGGATTCGTTTAGTTCACATCAGATCTGAACCACTACACCAGAAAATAGCTAGGTTTTTTTTTTGTCTATATTGCACATCCCTAAGACAGATGTAAGGCAATGCAACATTCAAGAGATGTGTTGAGTTGGTCTCACTTCCTGTGTTTGCGCTTTTATTTTTGGTATTATTTCCTGTTCTGCTCCACCTCTCCTGCCCCAGCTTCACCACAGTTCCCAATCAGCAGTCATTAGTTTCACCTGTTGCTAGTTATTCCCAAGTCCTTCACCCATATATACTCCCTCCTTTCCCTCAGTTAGTGCTGGTCCATTTACTCTGTTGGTTCACGTTGTCCTGTGTGAGTAATCTCCAGTCACACACCAGCTCCCTTCACTAAGCTTTCCCTCGTCGTTCACCACTGCCTATATATATTTATAAATAGTTTGTCTTTTTTCTCCTATTCGCTTTCTTAATTTAAACACACATACTGTATTTTTGTGTTCTTGTTGGCTTACAAGTACAGTGAGAGCCTCTGTACTGGACACAAACTGGAATCAATATTTGGCTTGAATCATTGAAGTTAACAATTCTAATATTTATTTGATGCAGTATATATACAGTTTTAATTCCATCTGTTATCCTGTTCATTAACACCCTTATTAGTGACCTTGCATTCTTAACAAGTATAGGTTGACCCAAGGTGAAGTAGCCTGCTCACCTTTGGTGCCAGACTACATGGTGGTTTGACATTTGCAGCAGCACTGCAAGAAGTTGTTCTTGCTTATGTATTTTTGAATCTGAAATATTTTTAATGTACTTGAGCAGTACTCGTCTGTCATAGTTCTTTTGGAGAATTTGTAGTATCAAAATTTAAAGCAAATCATTCAAATGAAATATTGAATAAACACCTTTGTGAAGACAGGTGAGGATGCTGTTGTACCCACAATGTAATCCCCCTTCACATTCCTCAGAGCACTCACTATTTAGTTTTAAATTCTTTGGAGAAAACTTTCCACAGCCAGCAATCAATAGTGTCCTGGGCAGGGTGTGGAGGTGGCGACATCAATTACCTCTCAGATCAAGTTGATAAAGTAGCGTCCTTTCAGAAATGGCATTTAGCCTCCTTGTCGTTGTGTACAGGAAATACGGTTGTCAACATAGCTTAAACTGCATGTAAAGCTTGTCACAGCAGCTAGTCGGTGTATTTGTACTGTAGCTTTATTTGCTCTTGCAACATGTGACGATATTAAGGATTTTTACAGAAGTGCTGACATCCTTTAATCAATCCCTATTTAACCTTTGAAAAAAACACCAACCGTCTTAATCTGAATTGAGGAGTTATTTTATCCATAGATCTCTTAAACTTGTCCATTAATTGGTAAAGGGGGGAAATTAAACACCTTAAAAACACCTTCATTTTAAATTTCATATTTGTTAAGACCTGATAGAAGAAAAGCTGAGGGATCACTGAAGGTATTACATTTCATCCTAAGGCTAACACGCTATGCACCAAATTTTAGGACAATCCATCCAGTTTTTGTTAAGACGTGTTACTAAAACCTCATTGTCAACCTAAACAATATGAAGTAGACATAAACAAAAAGTCAGGGGATCAACAAAGGGGGTTATCTTCATCCTGTGGAGACCATGAATTCTTCTGGCAAACAGTTGAGATATGTCAATCTGAACCAAAGTGAATATTGCCATTCGTGTCTTTCATGCAGACAGTAGGATGTTGTTTCTCAAGCTCAAGTGGTTGCTGATATATATTGGTTGTAAATATTATAGACATATTAAAGATTTAAAACTATGTTTTCAGGGGCTTTAATTGCACCATTGAAAATAATTGAGGCATTCAGTTTAAATAGTAAGAAACTAATCAAAGAGAACATAGGAGTTTCATATCAGCACCTCTTTCTTTTAGTTGAAGGCTTCTGGTTCACAAATTTAACAGTTATTAGCTGAAATTCCATGCATTTCAGCTTTTCATAGGACATATTTTCTACTGAACTCTCTAAAGGAACAAGACTCCATTTGATTTGTATTGTTTTAGTGCATTTTTTGCTTTTTGGTGCTGCCATTCATATTTCTAATGTTCTGTAGATAAATATCAGTATGTTCTAAAAGATCTGACATGGACATGTTCTTTCCAGCCTTCAAGTCTTGCAGGTAAGGATGATATGGGTTGTAGGGGACTACACAAAGGGAGCTGACAGCAAACACGACCCCTTTTAAAAAGCAGAAATGGGATTGATTCCTGTACTCTCGTTGCTTAGCAACTGCAAAGCCTCGTTGAGAGAGAATATTGACCTCTTGTTGATAAAGTCCAATTACATTTTTCCCGGTTGTGTATATCCACAGATTTTACAATGTCATATTATGTTCTCCCTATGTGTGTAGTGTATTGTTCATTCAATATCACCCCTCTGAGCCACTCTGGAGCTCCCTGATGGTGACCTCGTCTTGTTCCTGGCCGGTGGTTCAGGGCGGAAACAGTGCCAGTACATTCCCTGTCTTTATTACTTATTTACTAGTTTCAATCACCTGCCTGAAATTATTATTATTACTATTCTTAATTAATTATTATTGTTGTTATTGTCATTATCATTATTATTATTTTAATTTGTATACTTACAGGACTGCACAGAATTAAACACACCCTTACACACACAAACCACATGTAAACCCCCCTATGTTTCATTTTTAAATGTTCTGTATTCATTGTCCTGTCCTCCATGTTCTGTCTTCTGTCCTGTTAATGTGCTCTTTGTGTAGCAGTTTAAAAAAATGTATAAAAAGTTATGCTTGTCACTTACTGGTGCAGCCTGTGAGTACAAAGGTGTTTGGATGTTGTACATAACCTGAATTGGGTTAACAAGGGCACTTATTGAGATTAACTGGTTTTGTTGCTAATTTAGTCAATTAACATGTTTTCAGACCTGTCCCTTGCTAAATGGGCCCTGATTTCACAGTGAAAAATGTAATTCAGCCACAGCCAGAACCATTACACATGTTCCAGCATGCCCTAAAATGAAAATTGATTTCTAAATTTCATTAACATTTTTTATCCTCTTGTTCTGTTCACCCTGTGTGAAAGTGTCCATGCTTAGCTGGCTGTGTGCTGTAATTACAAATTATCAAGTACTGATCTTTCTGTTCTTTCTATGGGCTGTGGATGTGGGTGGAATGAGCTTTGCACAGATCATTTTTTGTGTTTCTTGTAGCTCATACATTGTTAGTTAAAGCACATGTTGGGTTGTGAAGCCAGTTTACTATTATAAACACTAGCAGCTCTTTGATAAACCGTCCTGTGATCATGCAGGACGCCTACACACATGAGTGTGTCTAAGAAGCTAGTGTATAATTTATTCTACAAAAAAACAGTACATATATAGAAAAGCTAATTTGAATAAATGTATAAAACTTAATGGGAGAATGTTTCAGATGCTGCCTTGCTGATGTACACGAGGAAGATTTAGCTTTACTTCTCACCTTCCTTAGAACATGTGTGCTCCATCATCGCCTCCATGCTGAGAAATCTCAAGTCCCAACAGAGAAGCAGACTCCTCAACAAATTCACAGAGAATGACTGTGAGAAGGTCAGTTTTTTTCCATCTTCTGGATTTCTAATTTTGCTTTCATTCTGCTCCTTTCACCTAGATTTTTCTTTGTATCTTTTTTGTTTACCAGCAGACTGCTTCCTCAGGATGCCTAAGCTGAGCTGTTTGTCATCTCACATCCATATGCTAAATTTAAACACCCTGACAAAACAGTTTCTTTATCACCATCTTACTGTGAGCATTGTAGTCCTATACGAATACACCATTTTCTGCCAGAGTTCACATTCAGCTTCATATTTACAACACTCATCCAGGCATCAGTGACAGTACTACTTTCTACTACCCGTGTATACCAAGTTCTGCCATGTTACTGAGCTTGAGAAAGTGATTAAAATATCAAACCTGACACCTTAGCTGCATATTTCTCCTCACACTTCCCACAACTTCCCTAACATATGCACAAAATTCCATATTCAGTGTATTGCTCAGTCCTATTTTAATAGGATGCATGACATGTATGTCTTTCTCACTACTAAACCATCGTTTACATCATCCATTTCCTGCATTTACTTGTTCATTTTATGTGAATGTTTATGTTAATAAGAAAAAATAAAAATCTTAGAAAAAGTATGTTCTAGTCTTTGCTTTCCCCTTTATAAACCCTCGTTTTAACAGTCTTATTGTTTGCAGCAATAAGATAACCAGAATGGGTGAATGGTTAATGTGGAGAAAATGGGGACATAATTTGAACAAGGCTGAAATATTGTTCCACAGACTTAGCAACATACAGTTAAACCACCATGTTATCAAATTAATTTGAGTGTTGTGTATTTATCTCATCGTGTTCTGTCTCTTTGTATGCTCATTATTTTCACAGTGCTTTTTTTGCATGCTCTCACTTTCTCTCCGTCTGCCTCCATTTCATTCCCTCTCCAGGTTGATCGACTGATGGAGCTGCATTTTAAGTACCTGGAGGCTGTTCAACAGGCTGACAAGAGGATCGAAGGAGAGAAACATGTAAGCATCTCTCCCTTTTATTCCTCTTCCCTCACACCCTCTGAATTTGTCCCCTTCATTCTCCTTGCTGCATTGTCTTTTTATACCCTGGCTTCATAGGAAGCAGCTTGTTGGATGGATGGATTCATTTGAATCATTAATATTTTTATGTCTGTCCCATACAGTATTAGAAGTAGTTGTTCTCCAGTATGTTTTTTTTGATATTTTAGTATGAGTGTATGAGACCATGCTGACTAGCAGCTTGATCCGGTTCAGACTGGATCCTAAGAAATCTGAACTGACCTGTACAAGCCACAGTCTGGACCAGACCTGTACAATCAATGCTGCTTCATTTATTTTACTATTAATAATGCCATGTTATGTTAACCTAATAACTGCCATTCATCAACGGGATCAATCAGATCCTTCCAAAAACATTACCCAACATGAGGTTTGAATTCTTTGGAGTGAATTAATCCATAAATCAGTGCCAGACAACATTACAACAGTTCTTGATCTTAATAAACCTTTCATATCAATGTGTTGTTTTGGCTTGGGTCCACTTCCATTGAGAGGCCCAACCGGCCCAGTCCTTTGACAAAAAAAAAAAAAGCCCTCCAGAAATGACTTTTATCAAAACAGTGCTAGACTACATGATGAACTAACGCCCATTTTTTTCCATCCAAGTGACTCAGATCTGATCTTTTCACAGATGTGTGAGCAAACTAAATCCAATTTTTTTTTTTCAGATCAGATCTGGGCCTGTAGCAGGTGTGATCCTAGATCTGATTCATATCCGATCAGAACGGTCAGATTGGAATATATGTTTTTTTCAATCTCTCCGTCCTCAGGGCATGTCTTCTGGCATTATCATTCAGTGTCGGCCCCTCACAGACCATTAAAAATAAACAAAAAGGAGAGCCACAGCAACGACATGGGTCAGTGGAGAGATGAGAACATCTTGTGTTGAACATCTATGGAGAGGCTTCTGATCAAGCCAAACTAGAAGGAACATACTGTGACATAATGAGCAGTTTTTAAAGGAATTGCGCATTTTGCCTGTCACAAAAATGACGTTATTCTTGTACGCACGTGACAACTTGCATTTCAGTTAAATCTGTGCATGCGTGGCAGTTTAGGAGCAGTTTAGGAGCTCAGTGGATAGTTGTCACTTTCAGACATGAATGTGAACCAAGAACAGAAAACGATCAAGGCCTGTGATGTGAACGTAGCCAGTGTGGCCTCAAAGACCAAGAGGGATTTATTATATTGCTATTTATTATCTAGGCACTAGCCTAATTGTGGCTTCATAAATATCCCTCAGTAAACCTGATTGCTGCATTGTCAGGTTTTTAGACCAAAACCAGCAGTATTTTAAAAATGCATGTGATGAACTTCTGTTCTTGTATTGATTGGAGCATAAAGAATAGAATTATGATACTTATGTTATAAAACAGTCTATTTTATAGAGAAAATGATTAATCGATGAATTGAGAAAATAATCAGGAGGTTAATTGATGCTACTGTGTGAGTGAAAACCATCTTCTGATGTCACAGGCACGTTGTCGTTAATGATGTTCCTGGGACTATCAGGAGATTGAGTCTTTCAGCAGCATAACTCCTCCTCCAGGCGACCCAGCAGAAGCTGATTAGACACTGCTTGTGTCCAGCTGGCAACAGCTTTATACATTGCCCCCAGGATTGTTCTCTCTTCAGCCATGTAGAGGCTGTTTCTGCCACTCTGTTGGTCTCATAAATGGCACTTCCCTTCATTCTGCCGTTAATGCCCAGTGTGTGGAGGGCTCTGACCAATTAACAGGCTGCAAAACGCTGCCATTCACCCTCTCTTGGCATACATTTCCCCTTCCATCCATATTCTGTGCACTGACTAACAAGGTCTTCATACTTGGCTGGTTTTCTCTCGTGAAAAAAAGCTGGACTCTTTCGAGGACATCGTTACTATTGGTTTTCTGTAGCTAGCTTGGGACTGCTCCTCACAAGAGATGCAGCATGGGCTGTTTTGAGATCTCTGTCCAAACATGCCCACCAGGACAATAGGCGTCGGTCGACAGGGGAGGATCCAAAGACAGGTAACGACTCTCACCGATACTGGGCTGTAACGACTCAGTCGTTAAGGGACATTGTTGGCCTTCAAAGGACTGAAACACCACTGATGGGGATAAATATCTCCCGCTCAACTCCAGTCAGTCAGAACTGATGAAGCCTCTTGGATAAGAGGTGAAACGTCTTCGATCTAGAAATCCAAGTCCAGTTGATTTTTTTCTAAGGTTTTTTCAGTTTATGTGATCAAAACTCATCTCTTTTTGGAGGATAAGATGCCATGAGGGAAGAGACCCCCCAAAAAAACCAAGGATCCAAAGACAGGTAACGACTCTCACCGATACTGGGCTGTAACGACTCAGTCGTTAAGGGACATTGTTGGCCTTCAAAGGACTGAAACACCACTGATGGGGATAAATATCTCCCGCTCAACTCCAGTCAGTCAGAACTGATGAAGCCTCTTGGATAAGAGGTGAAACGTCTTCGATCTAGAAATCCAAGTCCAGTTGATTTTTTTCTAAGGTTTTTTCAGTTTATGTGATCAAAACTCATCTCTTTTTGGAGGATAAGATGCCATGAGGGAAGAGACCCCCCCAAAAAACCACAGTCCTGCTGATCAGCATATGACAGTTTACAGAGGACTGGGAAGCTTGATAGTGGTGTGTGAAGGTCCTATTGAGTTGGCCGCATTTGTGTGTATGTCAGTGTGTTGCGCTGTGGACTGCCCTCCAGTCAGAGGCTCAGAAGTGTGAAATTCAGGACTTCTAAACTGAAAAACTCTTTCTTTCCGACTGCCATCAGACTCCTAAACAGCTGACTCAGGATCTACCTCATGTAATTCCATCTGTACTGTTTAAATACTCATTTTGCACACACATAGTTGCACACTCACTGCTGAGTATTTGCACTCCACGGCTCCCACATAGCATATATTCTCTCTGCATTATACTGTGTTCTTGTTGGGTTTTTATTTGCCTCCTTCACTTGCTGCTTAGTGCCTTAGATTTGTGATTTTACTGCCTATTTAAATTTGTGTTATTGCTCATCTACTTTATATTTCACTTGTTTTATGTGGCATTCATGTGGACGGCAAAGTGAGAATTTCATTGTACAGGGAAACACGTCTCCTAAGTGTGCATATGACAAATAAACACTTTGGCCATGACCTTTGACCTAGAGAGACCAAGAGAGAGATGCAAATAGAAAATATATGGCCAGATGGAAAATGAGTTCAACAGAGAAAAAGATCATTTGAGAAAGGAATGAAGACAAGAAAAAAGGCAGATGGAGATACTGTACATATCACACCCAGGAAGTACAGTTAAAAGAAAAGGGGGAAATGTAGG